CTAGGACGGATATGAACATACTCTTGCATTAAGAATTTGTGAATACTTAAAGATCGCGTAAAACATTATGATATATTTATATTCTTTATTGGACTTTACGATAAAATTATCATCAACAAATTCATATCACCTAGTTAGAGTTTTCTCCTCTTATATTCCTCGATTTTGATGCTGAAATGAGAGAAAAAGGGAAAATGGCTATTTGGAAGGGAGATATTTGAATTTGCATGCATTCCTCCTTTTATGCGAAAGTATTTATAAATTTCTTTGAATAGATGCAATTTTAGGATCACCTCGAACCCAGAAGCTACCCAACACAAGTTTCTTAGCGGCTTGGGCATAACTTCTATATGCGTCTAGTGTTCCCCTACTGACATATAGACGTTCAATTATGGTTTTTACGCTCTTTTCGAAGTTCGAGAATTTGGGACATTGGCTAGTTCATGTGATGGTCCTACATATCTTGGCCTCACTCCTCGACCTTGTCTTTTGTACCTGGATAAGGAGGCTTTCGATTTTCAAGGACTTCTCACACCTTTCTTCATTAACTTCGCCACTTTTCTCTTTTGAGTACATCAAAGCCTTCATTTATATTGTGGTCCTTGGTATGATGAATTTTACGAAATTAGGCTTCGAAATTTCAAGGGATGGATGACATGCTTCGCTAATAATTTCCGAAGGAGCTGGAGAGATTGTATACACCCCTCCTTTATGTTTGTCGTATCAAAGATACTGTCGATTGGAAACTTCGGTGCATACATAGGGGGCTTCCCTTTATCTTCGAGTTTTTTTCGTGCAACATTGCTCTGTCGTCTTTCCATTCTCAATTATGTCTATCTGGAATCATTTTGTATCAGATTTATCAATTGGTACTTGTTACTAACATTTCGCTGAAAGGAGTCTCCATAAAAAATCCGTTCCATAAGGCATCCTTAGCCTTCTCATCTGATATATATGGTTTCACAAACTATAAGTTCAGTACTGAAACATGCGATGTAGCTCTTAAGGATTCTCCTTCTCCATGTCTCGTGTCATTTAGCCTCGTGGCTGGTGCCTACCCTGCCTCTTCCTTACCCTGCCTCTTCCAACAAAGGTACTTAGAATTCCTACTTTAATTGCTGTCAGCTTCTGATCGAACCTAACATTAACTTGCTATACCATCTTTTTGCAGGTCTATTCAGTGTTAAATGGAAACCTTGACATTTGAGTGCAGGACTTTCCTTCTTCAACCTTATTTGAGTCATGTACTGGAATAGATGGTACATCGAATTGTCCTTTTTGCTACACTTTTCTATAACTGGATGAATAAAATTATTCAAAATTAAAACTTCCTTGATCTCTTTTGAGACCAATAGACATTCGTGATCGTCATCTAAATTGTATGACCTCGCAGGACGATCTTCATATTCCTTATATAGAGGGTAGAATATGAAGAGTTGATCAACCTTTCGGCTCTTCTACCTTTACGACGATAGCACTGGTTATGCCTTTTGTCATGAGAATTGATTTCATCCACGAGCCAATCAAATGCAATAGATTTATTCATTTGAAGATCTTTTTGCCTCTTTTCAAGTAAACTGCCCTAGGGTGTTTATACCATTACATTGATGCTATTCTCATGGAAGAAACTTCTATATGTTTTACGCCGTTTTGACCAGATTCTCTACTTTCGCATGCAGAGAAGCATTTTCCGTCGTCAATGCTCTGAGGCTTTCTGCCATCTCATGTATGGTCTTTTACATTGACATTTTCTTTCGCTGACAACAACGCTGAGTTGGAGATAGACCGGCTTGCGACTTCACTGGAGCCTCTTCCCATTTTCACAAAATCACGATCAACAAATTATTTACACCTAGCCAGAATTTTTTCCCTTCTAATCTTACTATAGTCAATGCTCAGTAAGGAGCAAAAAGAAAATGATTATTTGGAAGAAAGATATTTGAATTTGTATCTCTCTCTTCCTCTAGGTGGGACCTATTTATAAATTTATTTTGAGTTCAATCATGCTATATGTACACTCTCGTTCACATCTTGGTTGACACTCTTCCACATAGATTAATCAAAGTCACTGATTTTGAATTCATCTATCACATCATTGCACACATTTCTTCTATATAAGGGATGATGTCAAAAAAGATGTAAAGCACAATATACATCTAGCTTAATTCTTTAGCTATATATTCACATTTTATTGCCTAACTTACATATTCTTCAATCATTAGTTTTGAAATCAAGCTCTAAACACTTATCCACGCGTTCTTTAATAACAATTCCTGCCTATGGGGACAGTTTGCCCTTCTCGTCTGCGAGCTCTTATGCTTATAATATTTTCTAGCCTTGCGTATAAAAGGGTCATGAACTCGCTTGCCCATTCATTCGTATTTACTTAATCAGCACATTTGTACTCAGCTCAGTTCAGTTCTTTGGAACTGACCATGCCCGCCCACCTTTACGTGGCGAACTTTTTCCCCAGCATCTTACTCATTGGAAGATTTATTGGCTATACCCCTGCAAGTGAATTCAAATGTATGTCTTGCACTACACACACAAGACTAAAAGCGGATTATTGTCGTCTGTAGCCTTCTTTAAGAACAATAATTGGCTTAGGTGCTATTCTTACCCAAGGATTTGCTACTACTGCCTACTGGTCATTTAACGAGTTGTATCAACTATCAGCAAGTTAAAATTGCAAGCGGTTTAAGCCTATAGGATAACAAAGAATTGACTAATTGATGAATAAGAAAAAAAATGACTAATTGATGAAAACTTTATAGTGCCAAGCAATATGTTCCCAGAAATAAATAAGTTTTCACACAAACAAGCATTTAATTAATGGTTTATAGGATAATGTATGCTTTCAAATGAACAATAGCTGTCTTTTTCTTCTATAAGTATTCATATAGAAGAAGTAGAAGAACATAACCTATTAACTACAATGTGGCAGAATTAAGAAATATTCGTGTGCTTGAATCACCTTTATTTCAAAACTCCAAATATTGTATTTTCTTGTTTCCCAATGATCCCGAGCCCGATCATGATCATAATAGAAGAGGATCATTATCTATAGGGGCGGAGCCATGTATAGTTGAGTGCAGGCCAATGCAGGCCAATGGAGCCATGTATAGTTGAGTGCAGGCCACCATGTATAGTTGAGTGCAGGCATTGGCCTGCACTCAACTTTGGGAGAAAAATTGGAAGCTGATGTTACACCCTGAAACATTCCTTACTCTCTAATGGCATGGTGAATTGCTTGATGTTTATAAAGCTTCCTTAAATGCGAAAAAAGATATCTTGGTGTTAGATTTAAAGTAATTTGTGCTCGCACTGAAATTTAATTTTTTTTTTTTGCTCCGTCCCTGATTATCTAGTATCTAAATCCCCAATTTTGTGAATTTTTATGTCATATATGTAGTTCTAGGCACTTTTCTATTTTTGAGTGATTTTCCGTACGATTTTCACTTTATTCTTGCCATTTTTTCTTAAAAAGGTTAAACCCCAACCTTGAGGGCCCCCACGGCCCTGCCCCTAGAGCTTTGTGAGAGAAATAAATTGCGGGATGTGCCCTAACAAGTCAGGGAACAAGAGCTGCATGTACACTGCGCCTACAAGGAGTCCAATTTCATGTCTCAGGAATTGAACTCTCACACTACGGCTGCCAACAAAGCGTGAGATAACATCACTCATGTCCTTTGCACCAATGGGCTATGCCCCAGGGGGCTTCTTGCCATTTTTTCTTACTCACACAAGTGCATGACAAAGTTATGGGAATTAAATAAAGTCATGGAAATTGATGAAGTTGAGGGAAGTTATGAGTTTGAATTCTATTCAAACCACTCATCCAACCCACTTTAATAACTTGTGGGTTGTGTCAACACTACCCCTATTTTCCGCCATCAATGCTTTAAGGCTTTTTGCCATCTCATGTATGGTCTTTTACATTGACATTTTCTTTCGCTGACAACGCTGCTGAGTTGGAGATAGACTGGCTCGCGACTTCACTGGAGCCTCTTCCCATTGTCACAAAATCACAATCAACAAATTATTTACACCTAGCCAAAATTTTTTCCCTTCTAATCTTACTATAGTCAATGCTCAGTAAGGAGCAAAAGAGAAAATGATTATTTGGAAGGAAGATATTTGAATTTGTATATCTCCCTTCCTCTAGGTGGGACCTATTTATAAATTTTTTTGAGTTTCGGGGCATTTAGCTCTTTTTAGTTAATGACAAGTGGTAGCCATTTGGTGGTGGATTTCTAACTAATTTAGTTATCACCCATGCTATATGTACACTCTCTTCACACCTTGGTTGACACTCTTCCACATGGATTAATCGAAGTCGCTGATTTTAAATTTATCTATCACATCATTGCACAGATTTCTTCAACATAAGGAATGATGTCAAACAAGATGTAAAACACAATGTACATCTAGCTTAATTCTTTAGTTATACATACACATTTTATTCCGTAACTTACATATTCTTCATTCATTAGTTTTGAAATCAAGCTCTAAACACTTACCCACGTGTTCTTTAATAACAAATCCTGCCTATGGGGACAGTTTGCCCTTCTCGTCAGCGAGCTCTTATGCTTATAATATTTTCTAGCCTCGCGTATAAAAGGGTCATGAACTCGCTTGTCCATTCATTCGTATTTACTTAATCAGCACATTTGTAAGCTCAGTTCAGTTCCCTTTGGAACTGACCATGCCCGCCCACCTTTACCTGGGGAACTTTTTCCCCAGCATCTTACTCGCTAGAAGATTTATTGGCTATACCCCTGCAAATGAATTCAACAGTATGTCTTGCACTACACGCACATGACTAAAAGCGGATTATTGTCGTCTGTAGCCTTCTTTAAGAACAATAATCGGCTCAGGTGCTATTTTTGCCCAAGGATTTGCTACTACCACCTACCGGTCATTTAACAAGTTGTATCAACTATCAGCAAGTTAAAATTGCAAAGTGGATTAAGCCTCTAGGATAACAAAGAATTGACCAATTGATGAATAAGAAAAAAAATGACTAATTGATGAAAACTTTATAGTGCCAAGCAATACGTTCCCAGAAATAAATAATACGAATTACAGGGTAGAAATACATATGCCATTATCAGCTACAATGCTGCAAGTTGCTCCTACTATCTTCAGTTACTAAAGGCTACATTATAAGCCTGAACAGAATCAGCTTATGCATAACTTTATCGGGTCACCCATGAGCTTCTGCAGCTGAATCAGGAAAAAAGTAATAAGTTTTCACACAAACAAGCATTTAATTAATGGTTTATAGGATAATGTATGCTTTCAAATGAACAATAGCTGTCTTTTTCTTCTATAAGCATTCATATAGAAGAAGTAGAAGAACATAACCTATTAACTACAATGTGGCAGAATTAAGAAATGTGGACTATGATAATCGGAGCCAAAATCACAATAGGAGACATAAGAACATTTGCTGCATTCCTATCCGAAAAGCTCTTGTGCCTGAATAAGATCTCTCTGATAGTCTGTTGTTCTCCATAATGATCTTGCTAATTTTGTGTTACTGATTACTAAATTGGCTTCGTTTAAACCTATATCGTAACTGGAATTTGAAACCTTCAGAATGAACCAATTTGAAAATGAGATAACATGCTCTAAAAGGTTTGAGTTTCTAGTATGACAAGTGTTTCTTCAGAGGAAACTTCTATAAATTTGATCAATTACTCTTCAAATAGATATAGAACTGTTATCAAGTGGTTTGATAGAGGTAGTTGACAGGGCGTCGAAACTGAAGAGTAGGGAAGCAATATGGCAATTTCTCATCGTTTCTCCACGTCCTCTAAAAGCTTAAACTACTAGAGACGAAGCCCCTCACGTGCAGACATGCACCTTTAGACTTGAAATATCGAGATTATCTGGTAAAATACCATATATAACTACAGCAACTTAGAAATACAAAAAGGCAATATCTTCCATGTTCTTCAAGAAATCCTAGATCTACTACTAATTAAGTGAAACACAACTTACATTTATATCAGAATGGATAAACGCATCTCAGAAACTTATCAAAAGATAGCCACAAAACACAAAATTGTAGACATTTAATCCAAAGAAATGACGTTAAAACTTACCAAACCATCGCGTTTTCCTACAGCTGCACTTTTCAATGTCAAAATCCAAGATTTGAAGCAATTAATCTCCCCTCGCACACCTAGTAATGAGCTCACAACCTCTGCTATAAGAATTGACCACACCTTTACAGTTATAATACGACGCCCCAGGCCTCGAACATGGCACAGTATCCCTCTTCAAAGTATCATAACTTATAAACCTTTTATGAAACGCCAAAATCCTTCTATTACTCTCAGAATCCATCTGATCCTCTTCATCTGCCCTTTCTAAGCAATCACTGACCTTTCTTCCACAAACCCTTTTCACCATTGCATCCAATTCATTAGTTTTCAGTAAATTCACCTTCGAAATCGACAGCCCATCACAAAGTTTCATATGGGTCTGCAAGAAAAGTAGGGATAGGAAGAAGAGGATGCACAATTGATGCAACATTTTCTTTTGTTTCTCCATTTTGGGAAAGTGGACAAGTAAGACACAGACCATTTGGGGGAGAAAAAGGGATTTAGTGAAATCAAGGGTCATTAATGTGTGAATTTGCCCGCAGTGAAACATCCACTATGCAGCTCGTGAGAGTGATCTTTTAATCATGTTTTTCTCAAAAATTCTTTGCTTTTGGAAAGAAGTTTTCGACTTGCACCTGCCACATTGGTGCAGCGCGGAGAGGAAACTAATAATTTTGGTTAGGAAAATTAGCTAACATTTTACTTTTACTCACTATTGCAATATGATAACAGCAGGCATAGAATTATAAATTTCGGGTCAAGAATTCTTATTTGAAAGAATGAATTCCAAAATATTCGTGTGGTTGAATCATCTTTATTTCAAAACTCCAAAAACTGTATTTTCTTGTTTCCCAATGATCCCAATCCCGATCATAATAGAAGAGGATCATTATCTCGTATCTAAATCCCTAATTTTGTGAATTTTTATGTCATATATGTGGTTCCAGGCACTTTTCTATTTTTGAATGATTTTTCGTAGGATTTTCACTTTATTCTTGCCATTTTTTCTTACTCACACAAGTGCAGGACAAAGTTATGGAAATTATGTAAAGTCATGGAAATTGATGAAGTTGAGGAAAGTTATGAGTTTGAATTCTATTCAAACCACTCATCCAACCCATTTTAATAACTTGTGGGTCGTGTCAACACTACCCCTATTTTCCAACATTTATTGTTCTTATATCATATTTGGTGTAGATTAAAATTTGAATTAAAATTAAGTTAACAATAATAATTAATTTTAACCATGTTGTTATTGGATACACAACTTTTTAATAATACATTTCATCAACTTTTATTAAAATATACTAAAAATTGCTTGAAATAATACAAACCAATCATAGCTCAATCATTGACTGACGAATTAAATAGATAGCTCCTTGGATGGAAGATTTTGATCAATCTTAAAATCCATTGTCGTTGGATTCACGTTCAAGACAATTCCACTTGGACTCGAACAGAAGAATCTATCGCAGAATCTCTACCAATCTTTATGAATTCTAACTCAAGCCTGGACACCAAACGGGGCTTAAGAGGGTTTATTATTATTATTATTATTATTATTATTATTATTATTATTATTTTGGACAACTAGATCTCAACATTTGATAAATTAGCGACGTATATCCAAATGGATGGTTCCTAATAAGTGAATTTTATGCAATACATTTAAGAGTAATTTTTTTTGAAATATGGTTTAATTTGACGTATATATTGTTTGCTATGTAAATCTCAATGATTGAAAACGAAATTAGAAGAGAAGAATGAAAATCGACAAAAATGATGTCAAAGTTTCGGGACTAAATTATAAATATTCAAAAATTTATTCAGACAAATAAATAATGATTGAAGATCATGCGTGATCAATTGAATGAAATTAGAAGGAAAATGATGAGTATTGCATGAAAAAAAAAACTCAAGTTGAACAAACAAACAATTCGGGGACAAAATTGCAACTTCCATAAAATACTTCTATGGTGCAATTGTACCCTTTGATTTTCAGAAAATTAAGAGCAAAAGTTGTTGCTAGTGTGATCGCAAGGCTTCATCACATGCGATCACATGGGGTTATCCCAGGGGCGAGATCCAACTTTTCATATTTGATTATAATTCTTTTAAAAATCAAATTTGACTTGATTTTTGACCTAATTCCAACATCTTTAAGAATAGATCATGAATATTCATTGAAGAAAACTCTCGTATGCATCTCATATCACATCATAAGATTAAAAATATTTCAATTACAAGAGGCCAATTTACCATAATTGAAGGAGAATAACAAACCTAAGAAAGAATCCAAGGTAATTTACACGAAAAAAACGTAAGGATCAAGACTTGGAGTTGAAGATCAAGAATAAGAAATTGCTTCATCATAATTTCTGTACTTATATATTCATGTGAAAGAATTGGTGAGAACTTAGAGCTACCACACATTAAAAACGGTAATAAGCATTCATTGATTTCTCGAACTGGAATTTTCTTTTGAGAAAAACATTACATAGTTTGTGGTAAGATGGTGGATTATACTTGGGATATGATGACGGTCAGTTTAGAATTTCATTTGAGCCTTTCAAGCCAATTTTTTTATATGATTATAACCCTCTAGAAGCCACTTTGAGCCAATACATATATAGTCATTTCTTTTCATGCACCTATGTTATCAATACCTCATGCTTTAAGTGTATAGTAGGTATCGAATGTTCATTTGAGATGAACAGTAATGAAGAAAGGGAAAGGAGTTGATTAGTGCTCAAGTGAAGCGATAAAACATAAAAGAGAAGGAAAAGAAGAAGAGGGGGACAAATTGATAGAAAAAAGAAAAGAAAAAGAGAAAGAGAGAGAGAGAGAGAGAGAAGGAAAAGGGGATTGAAGTTGGGAATTGAAAAGTTGAGGAATGCGTTGAATAAAAAATGTGATAATTGAAATGTTTGATTAGATGCCTAGCTAGATACTTGGAAGTCCTTGAATCCTTAAGCTCTTATTTTCATATACCCAACTTAACCCTCATTACAACCTTTTGTATTGGATGTTTTGATCCCAAGTAGGATTGTGGGAAGAAGTTGATGAATTCTCAATTGATAGTGTGCCTATCATATGATCAATGTTTGCTGGTTGCTTGTTCATAAATATTTAAGCCTCCATATTCTGATTGTACATCTTTCTCAATTCCATAAAAAGAAACCTTGTACTAAATACTTTAATACCCGTGAGTTATGAGGTTGAACCTTTGGCTCGAAACATACTTGATGTTGCATGTGTTAGGATGGCGGTAAGATGACTATGACTTGATACACACTCACACATTTTGTAAGTGTTTTTGATATCCTCATGATCATGTAACTATTAATTTCTTGCAGTGTTGAGTTTGAAAAGAGCATGAAATGTGGTTGAATCAAAACTTAACAATTTAACTTGTAGCATAAACCAATCGTTGATTGTCTTGTTTTGCATTAAATTACTAGGGACTAGCAATAAGCANTGTATTTTCTTGTTTCCCAATGATCCCAATCCCGATCATAATAGAAGAGGATCATTATCTCGTATCTAAATCCCTAATTTTGTCAATTTTTATGTCATATATGTGGTTCCAAGCACTTTTCTATTTTTGAATGATTTTTCGTAGGATTTTCACTTTATTCTTGCCGTTTTTTCTTACTCACACAAGTGCGGGACAAAGTTATGGAAATTATGTAAAGTCATGGAAATTGATGAAGTTGAGGAAAGTTATGAGTTTGAATTCTATTCAAACCACTCATCCAACCCATTTTAATAACTTGTGGGTCGTGTCAACACTACCCCTATTTTCCAACATTTATTGTTCTTATATCATATTTGGTGTAGATTAAAATTTGAATTAAAATTAAGTTAACAATAATAATTAATTTTAACCATGTTGTTATTGGATACACAACTTTTTAATAATACATTTCATCAACTTTTATTAAAATATACTAAAAATTGCTTGAAATAATACAAACCAATCATAGCTCAATCATTGACTAACGAATTAAAAAGATACCTCCTTGGATGGAAGATTTTGATCAATCGTAAAATCCATTGTCGTTGGATTCACGTTCAAGACAATTCCACTCGGACTCGAACAGAAGAATCTATCGCAGAATCTCTACCAATCTTTATGAATTCTAACTCAAGCCTGGACACCAAACGGGGCTTAAGAGGGTTTATTATTATTATTATTATTATTATTATTATTATTATTATTATTATTATTATTTTGGACAGCTAGATCTCAACATTTGATAAATTAGTGACGTATATCCAAATGGATGGTTCCTGATAAGTGAATTTTATGCAATACATTTAAGAGTGATTTTTTTGAAATATGGTTTAATTTGACGTATATATTGTTTGTTATGTAAATCTCAATGATTGAAAACGAAATTAGAAGAGAAGAATGAAAATCGACAAAAATGATGTCAAAGTTTGGGGACTAAATTATAAATATTCAAAAATTTATTCGGACAAATAAATAATGATTGAAGATCATGCGTGATCAATTGAATGAAATTAGAAGGAAAATGATGAGTATTGCATGAAAAAAAAAACTCAAGTTGAACAAACAAACAATTCGGGGACAAAATTGCAACTTCCATAAAATACTTCTATGGTGCAATTGTACCCTTTGATTTTCAGAAAATTAAGAGCAAAAGTTGTTGCTAGTGTGATCGCAAGGCTTCATCACATGCGATCACATGGGGTTATCCCAGGGGCGAGATCCAACTTTTCATATTTGATTATAATTCTTTTAAAAATCAAATTTGACTTGATTTTTGACCTAATTCCAACATCTTTAAGAATAGATCATGAATATTCATTGAAGAAAACTCTCGTATGCATCTCATATCACATCATAAGATTAAAAATATTTCAATTACAAGAGGCCAATTTACCATAATTGAAGGAGAATAACAAACCTAAGAAAGAATCCAAGGTAATTTACACGAAAAAACGTAAGGATCAAGACTTGGAGTTGAAGATCAGGAATAAGAAATTGCTTCATCATAATTTCTGTACTTATATATGCATGTGAAAGAATTGGTGAGAACTCAGAGCTACCACACATTAAAAACGGTAATAAGCATTCATTGATTTCTCGAACTGGAATTTTCTTTTGAGAAAAACATTACATAGTTTGTGGTAAGATGGTGGATTATACTTGGGATATGATGACGGTCAGTTTAGAATTTCATTTGAGCCTTTCAAGCCAATTTTTTTATATGATTATAACCCTCTAGAAGCCACTTTGAGCCAATACATATATAGTCATTTCTTTTCATGCACCTATGTTATCAATACCTCATGCTTTAAGTGTATAGTAGGTATCGAATGCTCATTTGAGATGAACAGTAATGAAGAAAGGGATAGGAGTTGATTAGTGCTCAAGTGAAGCGATAAAACATAAAAGAGAAGGAAAAGAAGAAGAGGGGGACAAATTGATAGAAAAAAGAAAAGAAAAAGTGAAAGAGAGAGAGAGAGAAGGAAAAGGGGATTGAAGTTGGGAATTGAAAAGTTGAGGAATACGTTGAATAAAAAATGTGATAATTGAAATGTTTGATTAGATGCCTAGCTAGATACTTGGAAGTCCTTGAATCCTTAAGCTCTTATTTTCATATACCCAACTTAACCCTCATTACAACCTTTTGTATTGGATGTTTTGA